GTGTGTGTGTGTGTGTGTGTGTGTGTAGGTGGGAGAGAAGGAGGAAAGAGTCATGTTTTACAGCAAAATTAGCCAAAATCACTTGTGAATTCCCTTTGTTTAATAGCTCAGAGACATCTTCCTGTTGTTGTTTGTCAAAAATATTTCTAAGATTTTGTAAGCTTAGGGGTTTTCACAGCTCAGCTTTTTTCAGAAATGTGAAGTAAAAGAAATGGAAGAAGTCAGTTCAAGTTGAAATGTCAAATGCTTCAAATAATTTAACTTAAAACCCAGTGAGATGATCTTCTTAAGCCTTTTCCAAAGAATCTTCGGGAAAGAGAGGCCCTCCTTTGCTCCGTGTACGGATATCTATTAAATATCTTGCTGGATTAATTCTGAGTCAGAAAAGTTGGTCGTTTCCTGGAAGCAATTAAAGGTGCTTGAAATTGAAATTTATGATCCGTAGGAGAAACTTAAGTTTCAACTACTTTTCTTAGATTCAAAGGCTTTCTCCTCACTTGCCCTCTTTGCCTCTTACCCCATACGTATTAAAAGAAAAAATCAGTTCATTTCTCAACTTACAAAGTTTTTAAGAAACATGAGAATGTGTAAGTTTCTTTCAGTGGGAAGCACATAACATTTATGAAGTATTTCTTTGGGGATTACATCACAGTTTTATTTAATTTTAGGACAAAAGTTAAATTCAATATTTGTGTATAAGCCAAGGGAAAATGTACCATAAACATAGGAATTTGGGGGTGAGTCAGAGTTCCAAGAATCCCAGATTTACTTAGACCATTTATATAGAGACAGACTAACCATTAGTCATCTAGTTCTCACTTTTTTACTTTTGTAAAATTAATGGCACCTAAAAATTAGCTTTTGCCCATGTGGTCAAGTAGGGAGAGTGAGCTTTGGCAAATAGCATGGCTATTAGAATTACTGTCCAATTTTTGGACATTTTCTAAGCACATAACAAATAAATCCTATAAATTATTCCTCAAGTAGACCACAAGCAGCGAAAAACCATTGAAGTGAAGTGAGTTTCTGAAGGTTCTCTGTCACCAATAAAACACGTTGTCTGCTTACATTAGGTTCAGCCGCTCAAATGGTGTTTCAGATGGGCTTTATTGAAAACGTATCATTTACTTCAGAACCACCAATAATGTTTTTTGTTCTCCCGCCACTACCTCTTATAGGATGAAGTCATTGCTGTTTCCGAAAAGGTGATTGTGAAGCTTGAAGACCTGGTCAAGTGGGTACATTCTGATTTCTCCAAGTGGAGATGTGGCCTTCAAGCTGGGTCAGTGAAAATGGAGTCCCTGGGAAGGAATGGACAGAAGGAAGCTCTGCTGAAGTACCGGCAGTCAACCTTGAACAGTGGACTCAACTTCAAAGACGTTCTCAAGGAAAAGGCTGACCTTGGTAATTATCGTTTGTACTTCTAAATCTAATGTGTGGGCGTATACAGGAACCTACTTTTTTTATTGTAGGTTTTTCTGGAAACCCTGTCATTCATATATGCATATAATTTCTTTAACCTCAGAGGGACCTGGGAATATGGATGGACAGATGACTGGGGGTGGAAGGGATGGATGTTACCTGTTGAATCACAGGACCTTGTCTGTGTGGAACCCTGTGCTGGGAACTGGGTGATATAATAACACTCAGCGTTTAGCAGCTTCCAGTTGCTGTCAAGGCATAAGACTTAATCGAGGCACCAAAAGTTGAATTAATGGAGAGTTTAAATATTTGTTCTGAGTAGATACTATGACATTTTTTAACACCACATCAGAATTTCCTGTTTTATGTTGGAAGGAAGGCAAAGTGAGGAAGAGAGATTGAGCTGCTTCACGTGGAGCAGGAGAAGAGTTTCAAAGCAGGGGAACTACTGGTCCACAGCTCACGGCATAGGTTCCCCAGAGTTTTCAGGGTGTAGTGGTTACCATCAACCATATGGTTTTTTCTTTCCTTCCTTCCCTTCTTCCACTATAGGTTTGGGATTTGGAGTAGTTATTCCATTTAGTGTTTGAATCCTGACTCTGTTGCTTACTTAGCTGTGTGGCCTTGGGCAAATAATTTAACCTCCAAGCCGCAGCTTCCCCATCTGGAAAACCTGGAAACTTTTTCAGGGTCACTGGGAGATGTAAGATACAAAGGGTGTAGCACAGTGACTGGTGTATATTGGTGTATGGAGAGGAGCGCCATAATTAATTCTGTTGCTTTTTCTCAACACTGTCTTCTCCAGTGACTTTTTTGTGTCCTTTCCTGCTTGTTTTTTTTCCTTTGTAACTCCTTGTGGCATTCACTGACTTACTTTCCTAGCATTGCTCAAGACCACAGTTGTTGACCTCTGATTTAGACTACTTATTTCCTCTTTAGGCAAAGAGGAACTTCACTTTTAACATATTAAGGCATCTTTTTCTTTCGTTCTAGCACAATGCTGATTTTCATAGCCCAGTTTTATGCCTTAATGTAACAACTTCCTGTTGGGTTTTTTTTTTAACCTAGATTTTAACTACTACAACAAACCTAGACTTTTTATTTTAATTGGCATAAAGAGACTGAGTAACACCCATAACTGACTTGTCTTTCATGTGATTCTGGTTTGTGATGAGCTGTGCTGTGTTTTGGGAATAGCATTAATATTTTCTTTTAGTTTAACAATCAACAGTTTCCTGGCATCTTTTGGTAGATGTCAGGCAGTAAAATTTTGGTCATGGTGGCCTGATTGTCATGTGCCCATTTAGAGAAAATTATTAATCTAGTGGTTTTCATTTCAAAATTAAAGAATTTTTTTTAAATCATCTTCCTACACAGGCTGTTAACATGGCCAATTTTGTGAACACACCATGACCAGCCTTCTGACATGTGGTAATGCTGAATAATTCAGCTGTTGTATTACTTGCCTAATATATGATCTAAGTTGTATTGCTATTGTCTTATGTTTTCCTTAACATTAAAACCTTTCTTCTGTTTGTTTGATTTTTTTTTTTTTAGTTATGAAATATACTGTTACTAATAAAAAACTAAACAGGAAACCCATGGGGGAACAAAAGGATGTGTAGATGGTTAAGCTTGATGTCATGCATATAAACAAGAGTATTTATAGAAGAGTTGTTTTGTATTTAAAATTGATAGTTTATTAATGAATGAAAAGAAACCCAACCTCTTAGCTTCATCAAAAGATTTAGAGGTTTTGATCTTCCTGAATTCTAAAAATGTCATAATCGAACTTTTTAATAATTGATTCCAGAAGAAATTGGTTTATAGTGAACATTCAAAGTACTTAGTGGTTTTTAAATCTTGTTGTTCATTAGACTCGCTTAGGAAAATTTTTTAAATAATACTGATTGCTGAGTACAGCTTCCCCAGATTCTTCTTTCAGTAGGATTGAGGCAAGGCCAAAGAATGTGTGCTGATAAAAGGATCTCTAGGTGATTCCGATTTTTTTTTTTTTTTTTTTTTCCCTTTGGGTCTCATTTGGGAGACAGCTCTGTGAGTGATCAGTGCAGAGGAAGGGAAAATAAGCAACAGGAGATTGGATTGGGAAGCTCTCTGGTGAATAAGAAACACCATGTATTTTTTTTTTCTTTTCTTTTTTTTAATGTAAAATACCCCTTTAAGGATAGAATTTGGAGCCTTGAAATTCTACTCAGTTGGTATGAACTGTGGGGAATTTGAGACAAATAGCTTTTGTAATTGGAATGCACACTGTGTTGTAATAATGTGGAAAGAGAAACAAAAACTTTCCTTAATGTAATGAGTTTCCATTATCTGCTTGATCTAAGGTTTACAAGCCTACATTGTGAGGATTTATATTGGGGATATAGGGGATGTCATTTGCTGTGTGCATTCCTGTCCCAGCAACTTTCTCTTCAACCCCTTCCTTTCTCTGTCTGCAACATCAAAATATTTGTTGTCTGTACTTTTCTTTCTACACAGTGGTTTTCTTACTCCCTTTCTCTTGGCCACACTGAAACCACTTCCAGTACCACATTGTTAATGGAAGTTCACACACTTATTAGGTTTTTCCTTCTGTAAAACCCTTCCAACTCCTCATTGTTCCTACCAGGGCAAGAAGATGAACTCTGAGATTACTTAAGACCCTCCCTCTTTTTTTCTAGTGGAAGTAAGCAAAGAATGGAGCCATCTCACCTTTCTGTGGATAAAGTAAAACTGCAATATGTTATCTTTTTTAACTGAATTATTTCATCATGTTAAAACATCAATAATAACAAAATAATTCGGTTGACTCTTAAAGAAGGGATTTTACCATCTAAAAGCTAATCAAAGAACTCTTCTTGCTGAGTGTTTAGGTAGAATAAGTTCCCTTTAATCCCAGTTTGTGTCACTTCCTGTCTCTCTGAATAGTAAAACAACAAGAATGTTCTCACAAATGTGTGTCTGCCAACAAATTAATACTCCACAAAGAGAAACTCTGCCCCAAATGGCAGCTTCCAATAACTGCTGTGACTCAAATCACAACTCTTTCATTTTTTTTTAATCCCTCTCCCCTTCAAGGACAATATTTGTGGAGGTCATGTTTGCTTTTTAAAAACCTATGGCATTTTCATTTAGGATGGTAAATGGTGACTGAAACTGTAGATCTAGATAGTGGGGAAACTAACAATCTTTAAAAAACACTTCTGAGATGTGTGAGAGTACATTCATCCCCTTCCCTCCCCTTTGTCCTTTTCACAGAAAGAAAGTTCAGTATGAAACCAATTCAGATTGTGACTTTACTCAGTGAGACATTTTACCTTTTTTCAGACAGTTTCATACTGACGTTTATAGAAAAGGAAGAAAGAAAAAATAACTATGTTAAAATAGAAGGGTTAAGGAATGTATTATTCATAAGCATAACGAACACAGGAACCTGCTTTTCCAGAAGAATCGGGTTGATTAAATCATTCACTACACAAGCCTCTAGTTATTTATTTTTGTCTTCAGAATTACAGTACTTAGCTTTTGTTATAAAGTGGACCTGATACCCATATTTGGTATGGCAGTTGGAACTAGTCAAATGAAGAATTATTTCATTTTACAAAACTTTTGACAGCTAAGGAATATAAACACTATCAGTTAAACATAGCATACTTGCATTTTTTTATTCCTTGGGCTATAGTTTGAAAAGAAATCAAATTATTTTATATAACACTGCTTCTTACAGAGTTCCTTTAAGTGAAGTATGAAAGCTGCAGTGTAAGCTTTATTGGCCTATAAATATGTCATTATAGTTGGACTACATTTATATGCTTTGGATTGTTGTTTAAGCCAAGAAAATATGTCTCTACAGGTTGACTTTATTGAAACCCTTTGAGGCATACAATAGAATGTATTTTAGGCCAAGGTTATTAAAACAGCATTTTCATTTTTTTGCAGCAGACGCATTGTCAATTACGCTGTCACAAACTGTCTGTGGATGGGCAGTTTTGAATGGTTTCATCTCCAAATATGTCTCTAGAAAAAGAAAAGATAGAGGAGTGTGAGCTGAAATCAAGAAAAGAGACCAAAAGATGTGGGTGTGGGTGAATTTAATGCTGGGGGTTCCCTCAGGTTCCCTCAGTTCAGTTTCTGTTTCTAAAGTCCCGTCAGATGGAGAACGAGTGCCTTCCCCTGTCCCTTCTGCTGCTGGGACTTTTACTGTACTTTGGGGAATAGACAGCATGGTGGTGGTGAAGGAGCAGTGGCTGGGAGGTCAGGAGAATCTTGCCTCTGCCTGTCGTGAAGGTCTGTCACTCACGGCACAAGTCACTGTGTGTTTACACCTTCGGGTTCCTCGTGTGTGAAATGGGTCATAGTGTGTACTTTGTTTATCTCGCTGGATTTCTGAGGAGGTCAATGGAGAAAAAAGATCAATATCCATGGAAGCATCTGTGATACTGAAGTCTAAGATGGTATTATCATTATTATTACAAGAAGGCGATTCTGTATCATAGGGAGCTAGGTGGTATAAAATGAGCTAATTTGTCTCTTATGACTTTCCCTAATCACGTGTTCTAGTTATTTGGGGCAGGGTTTACACTCTTACTGTCTGCCTTAACCGCCTTAGTGCTGTTATTAAAATCCTTCAGGTTCTTTTATTTGTATATATATTATATGTATATATATGTATATATTTGTATATATTATATATACAACTATATGGAGAAAGAATATAAATATATATTTTTATATGTTTATATAGAGCTATGTATTTATATTTTATATAAAGTTTCTCCCCTTACATTCTGTCAAAATAAGCTGGGCCACAAGTGGCCAGTGGTGTAAATGTCTTCTCCAGTACTTTTAGTTAGAAATTGACTATAGTCTTTGCTTGGAAGCTCTGGAGGCCTTGTATTTCAAATGGTTGTTTCAACTTGGTTTTGAGTTTGATGTGTCAAGCTGCTTCCTGGGATGTGGATACGGGAAGGATTCTCGATTTGTGTTGAAGAGAACAGTATAAATGTCTCTAATAAGAAGTACGCTAAGGTGCTGACAGTTTGTCATAGGAAGTATTTTTCACCAGAGACATCTAATGAACTTAAGATGGAAGACATGCTTCTTACTAAGCCAATCCTTTTCTTCTTTCCTTCCTTCCTTCCTAGATGTAAATTTTGTATGTATATATTAAACAGTCTTCTCAGGGTATTTGTTGTTTATATTTTAACTTCCATTGCCGAGCTAGCTATACTATTTTTTTCTTAAGATAGAAACTTGGGAAATTTTTTGGATGATATATTGTTGAATTATTCTGTTCGTGGATATCATGAGGAATCCCTACAGAAGGGCCTCTTCACTGAAACAGATTTGGCCTCCTTGAGTTCAAAATAGAAATCAGTTACACTTGAGGCTTATCAAAAATTTGTAAAGATAATTTCCAAAGGATTTTCTCACAAGCTCCTCTGACAATATTGTGGTGTGAACCATGCATTCTTTAAAGAATCTAATTCTAGCACAGTGAACACAGGAGAAGCATGCTGTCCACGTGCCAACGTGGCTGTTTCTTCAAGAGGTTGCCTCATTTCATTGTAAAGTGACAGCCCAGAGAACCTTTGACAGGAGCAAGTTCACACTTCCAAAAGTCTGTACCCGAGACATTCAAAGCTTTAGAACAACTTAGTGACAGGCCATTTTCTAAGGATCTGGGAACATAGGCGGGAGGTTATTCCATTTCATTTCAAAGTTAAAATTCAGCTTGGCCATGTAATCAAGTAGTTGAAGACTGTCCTAAAATAATGGTAGAATGAACATGTAAAAAGTGTCTTGAATAAACAACGATGTATGTTGTCTGCACTCAGCCATCTCGGCTACACCTGCTGGAAGGGAAGTCTGTGAAACCTAACCACGTGTGAACCAGTCAACAGCTGGTCACTGATATTGCTGTCTAGATATCATACTGCCATCACTCAGGAAGGCTCGTTCCAAGTTAAAGCCCTTCCATTTGGAATTTCTGTTGACTTGCAGGTCTTCTAGTGTTCCCTAGAGTGATGAACACTTTCTAGGACACCAAATTCAGATCTTTTAATAATGGACTGAAGGTTAGATGGTCAACTGAAGAGAAGTCCGTAGAATATAAGACTTTATTCTTACTTTTAGAATTGGAGATGTTGAGGCAGAAGTAAGAAAAAAGTGAAATTGGAACTTAAGTGCTATTTTTAAGTATTCAGGTTACCAGTATTCACCTCCTGGATACAATGTTTGAACAAGGTAAGAAACTCATGCTTTTTGGGGAGCCCTTCATAGAATTGTCAGGCTGGACACTGGTACAGTTGATACTTCCTCTCCCCCTTTCCTTGAAATAGTCCTCAGTTCTGTCCTTATTTGGCTTGTTTTAGCCAAATCCCAATTTTTTCAATTTTCCACCAGGATGTGGTTTCAGAATCCTTCCCCATCCTGGTCACTCATCTCAGGACACACTTTGGTGGTTCTTTTATACCAACTTACCCATTGTTGGAAGAGAGCCATGGCACATGCGTCAGGCTTGGCACCCTCCAGGTAGGAATGACACGGGCAAAACTCTCGGAATCTCTTCCCTAAAGCTGTATGGCCTTGACTTTTCTACTCCTTAGGGCAAAAAGGAGGGAAAAGATGTTATTCAACCACTATACCTCCTGAATTTTAGTTACCTCTGTTTTTGCTTGTGTTTTTTTTTAAACAGTAGTGTTAAATGTAGACTATTATCTAATGAACATCATTGTCAACTAACATGGCAGGAGGTTTTGTGGCTCAATATCATTGCTGTGCCTTTCAAGTTTCTGTAATTCCTATAGTTGTATATTGTAGCATTTAGGGTAGGACTGTAGTATTTTTGCCTCAATAAAGATCCACAGTTGAATACCAGCTTGGTGTCCAGCTTTGTTTAAGCTGCTCTGATCAAATAAGATAAAAGACCAGCACACACGTCTTCCCTAAATTATCATATGTGTTAGTTTGGCTCATTATCATCCTCCTGGACTCTAGCTGTTCTTGCTTTTTTTTCATTCTCTGTTTTCTGGTGTATGGCCATACCTTTGATAAAAAAAGACCATGATGGAGAAGGCAACCAACCCATACTTTTGTTTCAGTCTCATTAATAAAAATGTGAATATCACAGTGAAAAATCTGTGGTAGTCACCATCTGATGGGAAGATTACCAAAGATGAAAGAAATTCAGCTGCGGTCTGAGTCCCTTGCTAATATATATGTCCCCTTTAGTTTCTGGTTACATACGCTGGGTCTTTTGGAAAAAGTCTTCTAGGCATCCTTGGCTTCTTGCAAGCTCATAAATATCTGGTATTATAGATAGACAGGCACACTTGGAGCAATACTTCCATTTGCATTTGGTGGTAGGAGTCTACTGTGAGGAACAAACCTGATTGGTCCACGTGGTCTGTTAACCATCCTTGAACAGTGCAACGTCGCGCCTCAAATGTGCTTTAAAAATGAAGCTTGATTCAACATTTCCCCTTCCGTTGGAAATGTAAACTTCTTTTCTCCTTTTATGGTACCTCTAAAATATTTTTCTTTACTTTCCAGCTCTCATCTCTTTAGCCACTGCATGATTACTGACTGTAGGCCATTATTATAGCTGTTATCACCATGGCATCACCTTGGAACCCAAAAGCACATACATCCAACATGTGAATTGATGGGGCTTTTCCAGAGGGTTTTGTGAGCAGGTGTTTGATTTGGGCATCTAGGCTTAATTCTCTTTAGTATTGATGCTGATTCTTCCCAACTGCTCATTTGTCTTTTTTTTAAAAAAAAAAACTTTTATTTATTTATTTATTTCTTTATTTATTTTTGGCTGCGTTGGGTCTTTGTTGCTGCGCGCAGGCTTTCTCTAGTTGCAGTGAGTGGGGGCTACTCTTCGTTGCGGTGTGCGGGCTTCTCATTGCAGTGGCTTCTCTTGTTGCCGAGTGTGGGCTCTAGGCGCGCAGGCTTCAGTAGTTGTGGCATATGGGCTCAGTAGTTGTGGCTCACGGGCTCTAGAGCACAGGCTCAGTAGTTGTGGCGCACGGGCTTAGTTGCTCCATGGCATGTGGGATCTTCCTGGACCAGGGCTTGAACCCGTGTCCCCTGCATTGGTGGGCAGATTCTTAACCACTGCGCCACCAGGGAAGCCCCTCATTTGTCTTTTAGAGTACTTGAAATGTGAGGTTTTATTGCAAAACATTAATTTTCCTAAATGTCAAAGATCCACCCCTCTTCTCTCCTCTAACATTATGTGTTTAAGTCTGTAGTTTGTACAGGTCCACTGTTGAGGAAAGCTGAGGTTTGGACTTTTACCCCATTTTAATGAATATATTTATTTAGGACAGATTGGAATAATAGTGGGGTTTCAGAAGCTTTACAAGTGCTTCATGCACAGTAGGGGCTGAGCAAACAGTGCTGTCGATTTGGGGTTTTCCTAGTTGCCTTGCCCTGTGTGTTTTCAGTTAGTATGCTGGGATGAAGTGGCTTTGCTTTGTTCTCCCAAATGTGCCTGGCCTCTTTCTTTGGACCTCTCCACTTGCTTTTTAATTTTTTAATCATTTCTAACATCTTTTACACTTCTGACCCTTTAAAAATATTGGCTTTCAGCCAGTAGCTCCCCTTTCTTCGATACCCTCATGCCTACTGGATAAGATACAAATGTTGTAGGCAAGCATCCAGTGAACTGTGCAGTCCCAGCCTCCAGTTTTTTTCTTTTTTATTAAACATCTTTCATTGTTGTTGTTTTTCTGAGTGCCAGCGTTATCCGTGTTCATATTAGAAAATGTAGGCAATACAAAATGTGGAAAAATTTAAGTTGCTTCTTTTCCTCCCACCCAGAAGTAACTGCTGTTAGCATTTTTAATATCAATATGCCAAGGTATATGAATGAGTGTATAGGTATGAAATTCATATGCATACCCTTCCCCCCCCATTTAAATTTGTACAGGTGTATTATGACAGTGCCTCCATATTATAAAATACTCTGTTTCTTTCTGCCTGCCATAATGTTTCATGAGAGAGGTGTTTCTGTTTGGACATTTCATTTGCTTCTGTTTTCCCACAAACTCTGAAATTCTTGTAACTCTGCCCATGTCCATGACTCTTTCCTCATACGTTTGTAGAGGTGGAATTGGCAGCTCAAAGTGCACACAGAATGTGAAGACAGCCTATCTCTCTCTCTTATCTCCTATCGCTTATGTAAACCTCTTGCTTTAGCCTAACTAGTCTAACTGCTTGGTCTTCTTTCTCTTTAACCGCATGCACCCACACCCTGCTCCCCAGCCCTCCCGTGAGTTTTGTATGGCTCATGCCTTTACTCATTCTTGGAATGCCCCTTCCAGGACTCTTACCTGAAGGAAATCTCTTTTCTTTAAGTTTCAGTTGAAGCCCCTGAAGCCCTTGTTTGGCATCCTGCCCAAAGGATTTTCCCTGCTTATGGAGCTCTTATCACACTCAGTGTCTCTACCACCTGATTGAGTACCTTACGCTATAACTAGCAATATAATGCAGTATCTTTTTTTTATATATATATGCTTGTCTTACCTTCCCAGCAACAGTCCTAACTATCCTGTAGGCATTCTGACTTCACAGCTATATTTAGTAGGTTAAGTCAACATGCGACTTTTATGATCAACCTCCTCTGAAATTTCTGGCATTCTCTGCTCTGCATGGTCAGGACACCTGTGTGGATTCAGTGGTTGACTTGAGTTCTTGTCCAGCACTTCCTAGGACACCCTCTAGTGGAGGGGCTTTCCCATTGGTACCTGGAAAGAGAAGCAATGTACAGTTGGCGCTCCATATCTGCAGGTTCCGCATCCATGGATTCAACCAACCTTGGATGGAAAATACTCAGAAAAGACAAGAAAAAAAACCGTTCAGATAGTTCCCAAAAGCAAAACTTGAATTTGCTGCATTTTGGCAACTATTTACTTAGCATACTTAGCATTTATGTCATATTAGGTATTATAAGTAATCTAGGGATGATTTAAAGTGCAGTTGACCCTTGAACCATGAGGGGGTTAGGGTGCCAACCCTCTGCACAGTGGAAACTCTGGGTATAACTTATAGTCGTTCCTCCGTATCTGTGATTCCTCTGTTTTCCCAGTTCTGCATATCCATGGATCTAGCCAACCTTGGATCATGTAGTACTGTATTTACTATTGAAAAAAATCCCTACGTAAGTGGACCCATGCAGTTCCAATCCGTATTGCTCCGGGGTCAAATGTATAAGGGAGGATGTGTGTAGGTTATATGCACATGTTATACCATTCTATATAAGGGATTGGAGCATCCTCAGATTTTGGTATCCTGGCAGGGTTTCTGGAACCATTCCCCCACGGATACTGAGGGACGACTGTACTTGTGGTATTTAGTTTCTAACTATTTTGGGCTTCATTTCTAATCCTCCATTATAGACTCATTCGAGGAAACTTACTAAGAGAGCTTTTGGACATGCTCAAAGCTAGCTTGCCAGCCTAGGGGTTTTTGGTGGTGTTGTAGGAGTTTGTTGTGTGTGGACATTTACCTATTAATACTGGCACTCGTTAATTCCTCTCTTCCTCAAGGGAATCTTTTTCATGTGTCAGGGTTATAGCAGTGACAAAAATGTGCAGGGAAATAAACAAATCCAGACTGGACTTGCTCTCCCTTATCTTTTTATTATCATCAGCTTGTTTGTAATCGGTCTTCTTTAGGTGACAGGTGATTAAGGAGATGGTTTTAGCAAGACATCCGGTACTTCTTATTCTAGGCGATTGTACTGTTTTAATCCTCACCTCCCTGAAAATGGTTACTCGCTAATCATGGTGGAGGATATTCCCCATCTTCCAACTACTCATTCTACTTCTTTGGTTCACAAGGGAAGTATTCTGTTAGGCTCTACAAAAACAATGCTTTATGCCTGGCCTATTCACTCAATAAGAAATAAAACACTGTTTTCATAGCAGTGCTGATAATAAGGCAGATTTCAAAGCATGATGAAACGTATACTTTTCTAGCAGAGAAAAACCTATAGTTACCTGGCTAATTACCCATCACATGATGGCTGTGTGTAAATACAGGCTTTCACATGTGCAGCCTCTGTGTGGGTTTCTTTCTTTTTTTTTTTTTAAATTGAGAATGCTCTGTTAGTTTCCGTTGTTTTGTATTAATGTTTTCAATCAAAGATTTAGAAGAATGAGCAAACACAGAACCTACCGTATTCGGGTGGCTTCTTTTTGACCACTGTACTATACGTTTGTGTCATGAACTTTAAAGTAAGACAGACTTGAATTCAAATCCTTGCTCCGTAAGCTGTATCGCCTTAAATTTTTTAATTCTGCTTTGTTTGTTTATCTGTAAAATGGCGTTAATACCTGTCTCAGAGGACTGGGAAAGATTAGACTAGATTACCTATGGGGGAGCATTTAGTCAAGAACATTGGTTTTCTTTCCTCTTTCCTTTAGAAAAGTAAACCTTGCAAAGTGCTATTTTCTTCCCCAAGAAAGTAAAGTGGACAGTTGCAACCTAAATACAGTAACATGAAGTAACAGGCATCGGCTTCCACTCATATTTCATTAATCAACAAAGTGATTAATTCCATGGTCATGTTTTACTTCCAAGAGGTGAGTGTATATATTCATACAGCATTCTTGGAAGGAGAGGAAAGTTGGATGTTGGGTGAACATCTGTAATAATCTGTAATAATCTCACACGTGCCCTTTGGATAATGGTAAATCTCATACAATAATAAAATCTCAGGGTTGATAATCTAGTTACAAAACTCTAGTTATGACATCTTTTCCTGAGCTTACTATTTCTTAAATGTCCTCTGCTGAAAATAGTTGACTGTTTAATATTTTCAGTGATTGAGGAAACTCATGACTTTACAGTTCCATTCCATCTTTGATCCATCCCTATGCTAGACATTCTTTCTTTGGAGGAGTTAAATCACAAAAGTATGGTTTATAGTACAAACGACTGTATTAATGATGTACTATTGTTATTAGTTCTATTCTCAAGACAGCAGAGAACAAATCAAATTTTTGTTCTTGACAGCATTTCAAGTATTTGAAAAAAACTGCCCCCGCCTCCAGTGCTCCATTCTCCAGGTCAAACACCAATAGTCTCAATCCGCATTCCTTACACAGCGTGACTACTGGTTTTCCCACCTGTCTGGTAGCCCTTATCTAAAGACATCTAAGTTGTCCCTGTTGCTCTCCGTGTGTAACTATCTATGTTTTCTATTTAAAGAAAAGGCGATACTTCAGTCTGGTTTCCGGCCTTAATTTTACTTTTTATACAAAAAAATTTAAACCTTTCAGAAGCAAAAGTACTTCTTCACCTCCTTTCTGATTCCACTCCTCCCAGAATTAACACACTGCTAATGATCGGTAGTTATTCCTCCAGTTATCTGTGTGTGTATGTGTGTACATTGTTTTGCTTTAAAAATAAGATCTTACGCTGTGTACAGTATTTAGCAAGTTGCTTTATCAACTACTGTTAAGTAGCCTAGAACTGTGCTGTCCAGCATGGTAGCCACTAATCACATATAGCTTTTTTTTTTTTTAATTAATTAATTTATTTATTTATTTTTGGTTGCACATGGGTTTTCTCTAGTTGCTGTGAGCGGGGGCTACTCTTCGTTGCAGTGCATGGGCTTCTCATTGCGGTGGCTTCTCTTGTTGCGGAACACGGGCTCTAGAGTGCAGGCTCAGTACTTGTGGCACACAGGCTCAGTAGTTGTGGCTCGCGGGCTCTAGAGCGCAGGCTCAGTAGTTGTGGCACATGGGCTCAGTTGCTCTGCCGCATATGGGATCCTCCGGACCAGGGATCAAACCCGTGTCCCCTGCACTGGCAGGTGGATTCCCAACCACTGTGCCACCAGGAAAGTCCCACACACGTAGCTACTGAGCCCTTGAAATGTGGCTACTTTAACAGAGAGACTGAGTTTTCAATGTTATTTAATTTTAATTAATTTCAGTATAAAATTAAAAACTAAAGCAGTGTAAAATATTTTTTTGTTAAACATAACTTTATTGCTTTAGTAGGACTACATCACTTTATTGAATATTTAGCCTGCAAATTGGATGTGCTGTAAATGTAAAATAGACACCTGGTTTCAAAAACTTAGCTTAAAAAAGAACATATCTCAATAATTTTTATATTGGTCACGTTGAAATAATATTTTGATATGTTGGGTTAAATAAAATATATTATTGTAATTAATTTTACCTTTTCCTTTATTTTTTTTAATGCGGCTACTAGAAAATTTTAAATTATATATATGGTGCACATTATATTTATATTGGACACTGATCTAGAGAGATTTGGACGGCTGTGATGTTTAGCCAAACCTTTTAAAGTACGTGTCTGGTGTACATTGTCACGTGCGTGCATCCTCTACAAGTGGTTGTGCTTTTGTGTACTTTACTGTACAGTGCTGTATAGAGTACAGTGGTACAGTATCATTATTTCAAGCCCAGGATGTCCGGAAGCAAGTGTAAAAGCAGCAGTGACGTAGCTGATACTGCAAAGTAAGCTAGGCTAACTTTGTTGGACTTAAGAACAAATTGGACTTACAAACACGCTCTCAGAGTGGAACTCGCTCATATGTAGGGGACTTATGTAGAAGAATCACTGTTGTATGCACTGAGTGCTGAAGAAGACCAGGGCACTGTATTTGCTGTAGAAGGAAGATGAAGATGAAAGAGACCTAGTCCCTGCCCTTAGGAACTCATGGTGTAGCGGGGTGGACAGCACAGCTAGGTTATAAGATAGTGTTTAGCCAGTGCATAGATGAAGGTGTAAGCAGAGGGCACTGGGAGTATGGAAGAAGGTTCCTGAGTGGGTCTTGCATGTGAGCAAACTTGTAAATGCTTAAAGAGCAGGGATGATGAGCGCTGTTCCTTTGGTAGTCGTCTCGTGTGATTGTTAAATAAATGAGGAGATTCCCATCCCATGTGATCACTGGTCTTCCAGGATATTACTAGGCTTGAAGACGATCGTGGTCATCTTTGGCTTAGATCTTCTTTTTGGAGGGCCTACTTATCCCACTACGAGCTTGGATTTGGTGCAAAGTTGGCTTTCTAGATAGAATTCCTGTGCTTGATGTTAGATGCTGACCTTTCATTGGCTCTAATAAATACCTAGTGGTTCATATCAAGCTTATCTGGTTAGCACAAGAAATACATACTTTACATATCCCTCATTGAAATCCCTAATATTTTGCCAAAGCTTTGGCACCTCCACCCAGAAAGTGTCCGGAGATGCTGAAGGGAAGATAATTAAACTTAAGGCTCTTTCTTGATTTGTTTGGCTTTATAGTGTCATTTGTTTCATAACTATGGAGACTTCATACCTACCAATGCGTGCTCTGGCGATAAAGGGATATCAGTTGAAACTCAAAATGTTAAGTCTTTACCCTCTCATTGGGTGTCCTGGATGCATCAAAGCAATATTTTGATACCGTATTCTTAGCTTGCGTTACCTACAAGCTAAGACAAAAGTTAGCCATTTTAGATTGCAGATGGTAAAACTTTTCCATGAAAACGTCAGCTTTCTACGTGGTTACATTGTTCATGGTTGCAAATGGGGCTAGTGTGGTTAATCAAATCAATTCATAGAAAACCGTTTCTCCCAAAGGCGGTGTTAGAATGGATCTCACAAAATCTGAGAATTTACCCCGGGCAGAGCTTTCTAGCTGAATAAAACTTCTCCTGTTGAATCTAAGAGTGGGGATCGGGAGGGTATAGGATCATGATAGCAGGTTCACGGTTTGACATCAGCTATGCCCGGCTGCCCCCCCCCACACACACAAACTGTAGCTTAGGCGATCGGTCATATGCCTGAATATTCTGCTGGGGAATCATCTGAGTCATTAATTCTTAATTAAGGACTGATAGATACATTTTTGTGGGGTGCCTAAACCCCCAAATCTTCATGCATAATTCTGGATATGAGCACACATTTTCTCGGAAGCCCATACATAACATTCATCTGATTCTGAAAGGAGTCTATGATGATAAAAAGGGTCAGGAAATACTTTTCCAATGCCTATTACTTATCACTCTGCCCCAAAAGCCACCCATCAGGGATTACCACCAAGTTTTATTTATTGCATTTTCGTAGAAGCCCATGCATATGTGACAGGGAGGAGAGGTAATTGGATTGGCCTCTTCTGATGGTGCTTAACCTTTGGGCATGTGGCATAGAAAACTTTGAGAATCCAGAGAACACTATGGACTCCCTACCCAGAAAATACATCCGCAAAATTGGAATGACATTCGAATGACACTCATGGACCCCTTGCTGAAACTGGTCTTTGAACTCTTGGTTAAAGACTGCTGGTTGATTCTCGTTAAAGAGTACGGAATCGTTGTGCTGTGAAGAAAAATGAAAATGATATGTGTCCACCCCACAAGGTTGATGGGGATTTTGCTTTCAGGTACAAGGATTTTCGGTTTTCATGCATGTGTGGCAAGAAAGAGCATGCCTCTCTCATGTCATGTATTTTTCTATTTTCAAATTATTAATTTTGACAGCAAGAATGGGCACTGGGTAATTCTTATTTGCTCCTGTCTGGATGATTGGGGTATGCTGTGTATACATTATAACTTTAGTAGTTACTTCCTGTTTAGGAAGCCCTCTGAAAACTCCTCATGGTGAAGTAGAGCCCCCTGTTGTAATGTAAATACGTTCTCTATGGCTTAATTTTTATATATCGCGTTTCATAAAATGAGGCCTGCCTAAGGATTTTTCTGAAAGCCTTTTTATCACATCAACCCTGTGGCCACATTTTTTTTTTTTTGGCCACACGGCATGTGGGACCTTAGCTCCTTGACCAGGGATCGACCCTGCACCCCCTGCAGTGGAAACACGGAGTCTTAACCACTGGACCATCAGGGAAGTCCCCAGTGGCCACTTCTAACGACAATTTGTTTCTTATGTGAATCAATCTCATGTTCAGTATTCTAAATATTTATAAAATAATGGCTTTTTGTCTTTTACTAAGGGAGCTCTGCATATTGTTTATGGTCTAAATTTGGCCTATTTCCTGGGAGCCTGAGTTGAAGCCCAAGATGAGAAACATTTTATTTTTTATCCTGATCAAGACCCCATCTGCCGTTTGCTAGACTAAACTACTTAATGGGAAGGGAATGAGGATCCCTCCCTCACCCCAATTTTTATTCTAAAATATCGTCCGGCATGTAGTAGGTGCTCAATACATACACTGGGTGAATGACTGCATGATGAGGCTTTGAATCTTGTACCTGGTGGCAGAATAATGTAATGGTAGGAGTCTGGCAGACCTAAACTTGAACCTGGGTTGCTGATTTTAAAAAATCCATATAATAATTTCTACCTCACAGAGATGTTGTAGGATTTAATAACATATTGAATTCCAGGTACTTAAGACAGTGTCTGGCACAATAAAGCACTTGATAAATGGAGCATTATTAAAGTCTTAGGCCTTAAATTAGGATATCTTAGACTTTAGCCATTTGTAAACCAATGTCAAAAGTTTTCTCATGTCGATAACTCCCTATTTTATAATTTAGTTAATATTTTTTCTTTAACTGCTTTTTTTAACTTAAACAACTTTAATAGGAAATTTTATATCACTACTGCAAATAGAAAACCTATATCACTTACTATAAATAACAGTGAAGATAAATACATAGTTCTTAAAATTAAAAAAAAAATGTTTATCCGTGTATCACCTAAAATTGAGTTGGGTACTCCTAGTGTAGACCACACTAAAGTCATTTCCTTTGAGGCTTTTCTCCTGGGCAACAGCCCAGCCTAGGTTATTGAGAGCAGTGAGACCTGCCCGGACTATGGCAAGCCTCATGTCAACAGCAGGCCAGGGAGGGTTGGAACCAGTTGCACTGAATTAACCTATAGACTCAGAAGTATAACTGCCACACAGATGCGAAGTCTGAAAATAACCCACCGTGCACCTGCCCCTTTTGTGTGTCCGTTACAGAGTTAATTAAGCACCAATAGATTAGATGCTGTACGAACAGTAGAATAAAGACATGACTCTTACCTTTGAGATGCCTGCACTCACATGATTGGCTTCATCCCCAGCTCCCATTTGGGGGTGAGGACGCGGGACAGTTTCTAAACACAGATCCCAGTCGGGTGAGGAAAAGGGTAATTGTTATTACTACCAACTGGCCCAACACAGTGATGAAGTAACCTGGCAAATCTGAGTCCTGGGTAAAACTAGTCTTTAGAAATTTGCCGAGGTGAAGGTGATTGGCTGAGATTGAATCCTTCAGGTTGTCTAGATTAGAACAACCTGCCCTAGCCTTGGGTTTAAGCTAAGCAAAAGGAAATAAACACTGCTCTAAAAGGTAGTGTACACCAGCGGTGCGCAAAAAAAAGCAAAGGTGAAGGCTCACATCCGTGTTGTGTTGCATAACTGATAAAAGCTGAAGCACCGTTGGAAAAAGGCTCATTGTCCATACTACTCTCCTTATCATTTAAATGTGTACAGCACATTTGGGGATGCTCGTTAGTGACGCTGCAGGCACGGTGGCAGTGAGAACATTTCACGTGGTTTGAGAAACAGCTCTGGATGTGTTTGCCAGACAGTCTGATTCCAACAGTGTCCTTAAGACCATCCTCAGTTGGACTGCGCTCTTCTCTGTTGTGCTGTGAAAGAAAAACATAATGCAGCCAAGCATTGTGCTGTTGGCTATCAACAGCACAATTCTGAATTACAAATATTATTAAAGGTAAATGAATCATTGAAAGGATAGTAGCATAAAATATCTGACAAATGAACTGAAGTTTGGGCAAGAATAAATTTTACCATCCATGAGCAGCACCTCAGTCCATCAACCGGTAATATTAGTTGTCCATTTAAGTCGCCAAAAAACATTTATGATCTTAAAGTAAATGGTAGTTAGGACTTAGCAGGCTGTAAATACATAGCAGGGATTTGGTGATATCATAATAAACCATGAGAGAAGCTAGAGTGGTTTCTAGTGTTAGTAGAACGTTGAGAAATATTTAAAGCCATGTTCTCAGCACCACAGTTGTTGTTGTTGTTGTTTTTAATTGGGGGTGAGGGGAACAGCAACTAGTGTTGTATCAAAAAATGTGTAACTCTTTTTCATTAGGGTCAATGGGAGTATACCAATTATCGAGAGGAGATTAAGCCCTTGGTTTGTATGATGCATGAATCTTTTAACAAACAGAATATATACTTAAGGAAAAAATAAAATATTCCCTCCTGTTTCTCCCTCTCTTAGTTCCCTCATTTCTGGTTTCTTTCCTTCGAATGAGTTTTGTATAAGCAAAAAAAGACAAGAGCAGAAAGGTCCCAGGCCTCTCAGCTTCTTGGCTGGTTTATCTTTTGTTTCAGATTCTAAAAAGTAAAGCATTCATCACTCTGGCCCTGGGCTTTGTTTCCCTACCTTGTTGTTACCTGCCAGTCTGCTAACGGTGGAGACGTGGAAAGGGGTACCGAGCCCCACCTGCCTCCTGGCTTCACTCACAGCCACAGGAAGGGCAGCCTGTCAGTGGGACAGGGAGAGCTAGACGGTGTCCAGAACCACAGCCTGGTAACAGCATGGCAGCGAATTAGTTGAAGATCCAGCCCAACCGCTGATCTATAGGCCAGTGTCACTGCCTGGCAGGACTGGCCTGGTGGAGCAGCTTATATTTGAGCAAGGAGGAAGACCATTCTTTGTGAAGTCCATCAGTCCCACAGAAAGTTCCAAGGAAAATGATGCATGCCCTGTGCTGGTGGATGTTGAAAGTTGCTTGCTGTGTCTTAGCTGCACTCTTGGTTTCTATACCTGTATCCTGGGTTTAGGAGACTCCTATCATCCTTGTCTGTGGCCTTTCTTGAGCCCCTTCTGTGTGCATTTGCTATAATTGTGTCTAGTATGTGCAAGGCACTGGGAAAGAAGTGACCTGCACAGTCAACACACCTACACTAGCATCATTAGCAACTGTTAGTTAACCAAGTTTATACACAGGAACACATGTGCCTGGTGTGAAAAACATGGCTGGGATTTGTCCCAGAATAATTTTATGTTTTCACATTTCTGTGGTCCTCAAATCCCTTTTTAGATTTGCACCTTCCTTGATTCTGAAGTCTGGAATCGAATAACAGAGTCCAACTTATTGGATAATCAGATAGAGGTGAACGGTGGAAATCAGCACATTAACAGCTGTAGGGCTGATGCAGGCACCAGGCAAAGTGGACACACACCTCAGGGCTGAGGGAGAAACCAGGACCCCTGGTGTTGCCAGGAACTAACTCTACAGTGGCTGCGGTGTGGAGGCGGGGAGGGTCTTGGATCTCCCAAGGGAGGATCCAGGGATACAGGGAGGTGGCAGGGAGCGCTGAAGAGAGGGGTTGGGGGCAATGGCTGTTTACTAACCTGCATGAAAGTCTTCGATATTTTGACCTGGCGAGACCGTCGTGGTGTGTACCAGCGGAAGGGCAGCCCCCCCCCCCGTAGTCCTGGTGTCAGTGTGTTAACACAGGGGCAAGAATCATCTAGATTCTGTTTGTAGCTTACTGAAAGCCCTCCCTACAATGTTTAACTGAACAGTGCTCTTCAAAATGCACGGACTAAAAATAGTTTCATCTGCAGCGTGAACATAGTTTCATATTTATACTAGCATCTGGCCTAAGAAATTGAATACTCCATTCTTTAAATAGCTTCACTCCAGCTCTTTGAATACTCTGAGAAGAAAATCTCCCTCAAACACCTTGTTTACATAGGCATGTTTAAATGCAAACAAGCTCCCTTTTTAAAAAGCAGAAGAATATTAATTTGGGAGTTCATGGGGCTTTGGGGTAGTCTTTCTGTGTAGGGGCAGGTAGAGAAGGAGGGGTTGAATAGAGAATGGATTTAAAATATGTCCATTTAGTAAGAGATTTCTGAGACATCTACTGTTTAACTTTTTCTGTTTTCCAAAATTTGATTCACAAACATGTGAATAGTGTGTGTGAATCTTTACCATCATATGTGAAGCCAGTTAGAATGAAGTTCTTGGGAAGAAAAATTTATGCTGCTGCTAATGCCCAAGAATAATAGAAATATAAGGCTAGATATACTTTAACTTTTTCTACCAGTAAATGCTTTGGGGCCGGAAATCGTTTGCCAGCAGGCAATGAATGTACTTTTGTTAGTCTTAGGGGGGATACTAATGGTTAGTCCCCGTGAAGAAAAATGTGAAAATGACACACTAAAAGGTAAACATTACGAATGGATGGCTAATGATTAGCTGTTATAGTCCAAAGGGGCAGGGTATTTTTTTTTATAGTTTTATGACCCTTGCCCAGCCTTTATTGAAAGAACATTGTATATTCAGAGTTATATATTTCAAACTTATACCTCCTTTGAACATCCTTCTTTAAAGATCATAGCAAAATAAATAAAGATCATAGCAAATAATTCTCCACATTTATTTATATGCTGTAGGGGGAGGAGGATTTTAAATGTATACTGGTTTTAACGTTATATTAAAGAAGAGGAACACAATTATTTTTAAAAATCCGGCTTATGAACCCACAGAGTGGGATATAATAATAAATGTTCACCCTCCCCCTGTCCCACCCATCCTGAAAAGTAAGGGTAGTACCCTTGTTCTGTCAGGTGGGTAAGTTAGCATTTAGTATATTATTGCTACAGTAAAGTCAAGATATATCCTTGTCCAAAGTGAAAAGCTTTTGTGAACATAATCCAGTTCAGAAAAGTAAAATTGTTAACGGGTTGCATTTTTTTCCTTACTTAAAACAAAAATGGCTTTTTTTGAGTCCCTGGGGGCTCTAGTTTTACATCTTAGATTAACTACTTTGGTAAATAAAGAATGTCAGTAGAACATTGCCCACTATAATGTTAACATGTGGGTATGTTTGAGAAGTAGTAACAGAAAGGCAACTTTTCAGTCATCGAATCGATGTTGATATTAGATTTGAGGCCGTGGGTTGTTCTTCACGGTCTAGGAAAGTAAGTGCCTTGGCTGAATGAAAACTATGTAGATTTCTCTGGGAAACACTGAAATGTCATAATTTAAACACCACTTTCATTTTTCACCAGTGGGACTTTTCTAGATAAAAATCTAATTCCAAATCATTCTTTTAAAATGTTTTTTCCCATTATGACTGTAACAAGTTTTTTATTGCAGAAAGTAAAAATATGCAAAAAGAAAAAATAAAAATCATTCATAGTCCCACTACCCAGAGGCTACCTCTGTTAACAGTTTAATTCCAATTTACTATATGTTCTTGATTCTAAGAGCCACTGGTTGTAAAGATGCATCATTGATTTCACAACAGCTTTTAGGGAACAAGAAACAATTTCATTCCATATATAGACATAATTTTTAGATACATACTGATTTCAGAAAATTACAAAGTGGTGAAGGGGGCCAGGGAGTGCATTTTAGAATTGATTTTTAAAGGCCCAGCTCTGGCCCTTCTTCTCCTCGAAGGTGTATTACTCCCTGGGTTCCCAGCTCACTGGGAATCCTGCCCTAGTCCAAGACTCTAAGAAATGGAAGGAACCTCAACTATTCAATTTAATTCCATTTTACATCTATCAGAGTAATCCTTCTACTGTTTTCCCAGTAATATTGGGTTTATTACCTCATACAGCCCTGGATTTTTTTTTTATATGCTCTGAATTTTAGAAAGTTTTTGTTTTTATATTGGACTAAATATAAAACTTAGTGGCTCTAAGTTTTATGGCTCTGCCACATTTACCCACTGGGACCAGTTCCCTTAATGAATCCCATAAGACAAGGGTCTAGACTCTTCTCCCACGTAAAAGTCCTTTTGATACTTTAAAAGCAGTTCTCACATTCCTTTCAAGAGCTCCCGAAGTCTTCCTGGTTCTTCTGACATCTTTGAATTTCTAGGTTAACTGTCCCTGGTGCTTTCAACCTAGAGTATTCTTATACTTGTGTTGGTGTGTTTTGGTTAATCACTGCTCATTTAAAAATAGCATCTGCAGACTGTATATATTGTCTAACCAAGGTGGCATATAATAAGACCATTACTTTCTTCATCCTGCATCTATATTTCCATGAATTCTGTCCATGTTCTATTGTTTCTCCCAAGCAATACTTTCTTTTGAGTCATATGGAAATCATGGTTAGCTAGAAAACTAGGTCTTTTTTTTTTTTTTTACATGAAATGTTAAGATGGACCACCGCCATCCAGTTCTTGTACAATAATTTTTTTCTTTTTTAAAACTAAGTGTAAGACTACATTTTTCTTTATTATATTTAGCATATTTTGCTTCCAGCCAATTTTCAGCC